CCCCCTCTCCGGCAGCCTTTCTGGTGCGGGAAGGCAGGAACAAGACAAATACACATGGACGTTTGAACTGTAGTCTAAAACATTTTCGGCGTTAGTTTTGTGTGTCCTTGTTTTGCTGCTGGAATGCTTGCAGTGCTTGTACATGCTATCTAGCTTCAGAACACCATTGAGATTCTTCGTCTCATGATGAATGCAGCTAAGGAGAGAGGGCATGGGCACTGGGCCATGGTCAAGTTGGCCCCATGGTCTGCCGGCTGCACAAGTTGGCCCCGTGGGCTGGTATAGCAAGCCGCGGAAGCTGGCGAACCGGCGACTGGCGACCGGTGTAGCTCATACAATCCGTCGATCCACGACTCGGAGGTAATTCGCCCAGTTTTCTATTTTCTTTGTATTCTAGCTTGGAAATTTGTTAAGTCAAAAGTTAGAGCTATTGATGCTGCAACTTTGTCAGCGAAGAGGACAATTTGTTATACCAGCAGCCATCTTCGTACAGCTCTTAACAGGTTTCCTAGCTAGAAAAGCAAACATCATGTACCTGTATTATTCAGCAAGCTAACAATATGCAAATTACCTTATCCATTGCATACATCATACTAACCATATTACAGTTGAAGTGGGCTTAGCCAAAATATCTGAATAATACTAACTGATCATATAGCACTCCAACCCCAAAGAACACACCAAATGCAATCGCGAAGATGATCTTTTCGCTGCATTGTTTTGCAGAGATGATGGAGACGGGAGCTGCTTCAACTGAACTGCAATGGTTAATAAGCACCGAGCCGCACAGCTTTGGGTTCCCGTCAAAACTAGAAGCCTGAAACGTGCTTAGCTGCCCTTCTGTTGGAATAGATCCTTCTAGGTCGTTGTCAGAAACATTGAATCGCGAAAGGAAGTGAAGATTATCCAACGGCACAGGGATTGCACCAGTGAGGTGGTTATTAGACAAATCTAGCCCCTGGAGGTTCGTGAGCTTGCAGATTGATTGTGGGATCTCTCCATAAAAGTTGTTGAAACTCAAGTTTAGGTAAGTGAGTGCTTTCAGATGACCAATCTCTTGGGGGATCATACCTCTGAATTTATTCTTACCGAGATTCAGCCCTTTGGGCCAAGCACTGCCCATGCGGCACTGAAGTTTAGCATTGACATCGTCCACATAAATTGGTAGATCAAGGAGGCTTGGGTCCAAATATGTGGCAGGCTTGTCTGATTTTAGCATTGGCATCTCCATCAAGGTCATTGGAATTTTCCCAGTAAGACTGTTGTTTGATACGTCCAGTCCAAAGAGGTGGTTTAGGGAGTTGATCCAGCTTGGTATTGGTGCGGTATTGGTCCGGTGAGTTGATTACTAGATAATAAGAGTACCTTCAGACTTGTGAACTTTGATAACCAAGTAGGTATCCTTCCAGTCAACGAACAATGGTGCATGACGAGAAACTGAAGATTCTGAAAACCGTCAATGGTTTCATCTTGTGGCATGGCCTCATTCATGAAGTTTCTGCCAATAAGCAAGGTGCTGATGTTCCTGCAGCTCTTAAGGACATGCAAAGCTTTCATGATATTTGTAAAGGAGTTACTACCAAGTGATAGGAAGGACAGATGCTTCAGATTGCCTATTCTTGGTGAGATCTCACCATGGAAATGGTTGCCTGATAGCCGCAGTGCAGTCAACATGCTGCATGGGTAAATGCTTTCTGGCACTATGCCACAGAGACGATTCATCATGAGATCTATACTTCTTAGATTCTGCAGGGTTGAGAAGTTTACCTTGCTTAGATCTCCACTGAAGTTGTTGATCTTCAGATCGATGGTTTTGAGATTTGTGCAGTTGCCAAGAGTTGATGGCAGCTCGCCAGACATGTTATTGTTACCCAAATGAAGCTTCTCCAACCTCCTGAGCTGACCTATCGATTCTGGGATGTTGCCACTGATGTGGTTCCCTCCAAGGTCAAGAGTAGCTAGATTAGTGAGTTTGACCATTTGTTCTCCATCAAGTTCTCCTTGCAAACCATTGTTGGGGAAGGACAGGTACTCCAGCGAGGTAGTGTGGAAGATTTCAACAGGGAGAATCCCACTTAGGTGGTTGTTACCGGCCTTGAGCATTTTGAGCTTGGAGCAATTACCTAATGTGTTCGGAATGTCGCCACTTAATTGGTTGTGACAGAGGTCAAGCAAAGCCAAAGATGGCGAGCCAAGGCAAAGAGAAGACGGTATGTGCCCAGTGAAGCTGTTATTGCTGGCGTTGAACGCGTTTAGATTCTTCATCATCTTCCATGTGGCTGATGGAAGTTCTAAGCTGAACTGGTTGCTTGAGACGTTGAGTACCTGCAGAGGCCGGTCTGTGGTGATCGAAGACGGCAGCTCGTGCAGCGTTCCATTTAGCCGGTTGAAGCTGACGTCAAGGGCGATGATGCTGCTGGAGGACATGAGCTCCACTGGAAGGCCTCTGGAGAAGGAGTTGTGCGAAAGGTTGACATGCAGCAAGCCTGTGAGGTCGGCGAGAGATGGCGAGATGCGCCCTTCAAGTCCTTTAGATGCCAGGGAGATCTAAGTGACGGCCCCATCTCCATTGCAAATGATGCCTTCCCACTTGCAGCAATCTGTCTCATGGCGCCAGGACGTGGCGAGGGTGCCATCTCCCGACGTCCCAGTGAGGAACTGGAGAAGTGCATGCTTCTCCTGCTCGGTGCATGAGGTGGCGGGAGAGACCAAGGAGAGTAGCAGGAACAGCTGCAGCATGGTCGGAGAAATGGTGAAGGAACGCATTGGTTGGTGTTTTTTCCTCCCCCTTCTTGTTTTTCTGTTGCTTGAAGAATGCATGTGGGGCTAGTACTATTTATCATCTAGCTGTAGCTTTATTATGCTAGGGTGTGCAGAACATCGTTCAAAAACTTCTGCTAGTCATGGATGCAGCCGGCTGCACAAAAGACAGTGACACTAGCATGGAAATCAATAGCCACGACCCAGTTGATTTTGTCAAATCTTTCATGAGAATACTCTTCATTCATTAATGGAAGATTACACTACATATACTCCTTCTGTCCCAAAATAAGTGTCTCAACTTTATACTAACTTTAATACAAAGTTGTACTCTATGTTTTTAAGGCGGTAAAGCGTCATAAGGCGGAGGAGGGCCGCTCTGACGCCTAAGCGCCAAGGCGAGGCGGTAAGGCGAGGCAAGGCGACGCCTTAAACATTGCAGGAAAAGAGTCATCAATAGGTCTGCACATATTAATACTAGAAAAAGAGCAATGGCTGAGAGATGGGCCACTACTTATGCACCTCCCAGTGGCCCAAAAGCCCATCTAGTGGCCATATACACCCCCGTGACCTAATTCCACTATCTCCTTCCCTTCTTTCCCACCACAGCCGCCACGAAGCCATACCCTTCTGGTCCTCCCTCCCTCCTCTTCATGGCCCCACCCTTCTCCCTCACAGCAGCAAGCCCCAGGAGCCCCCAGTCCTCCCTCCTCTTCATGGTGCCGGGAGACAGCGGGCCGTCATCTCCAAGCCCCAGGAGCAGCCAGAACTAGGGCAGCCACAGCCGTACACTTCATGTCTGTCTAAGGCGGGGTAGACGCCTTGCCATCCTGGGGCGCCTTGACGCTTAGGCGACGACTAGGCGACGCTTAGGCGACGCCTTAAAAACATAGGTTGTACTAAGTTTGAGACACTTATTTTGGGACAGAGGGAGTAGTAAGTAATTAAGTTGACCCCGTGATCTTCTCTTTTAGCTTCATTGAACTAGTAAAAAGGAGTTGCAAAAAAGATTGGGTTTGTTATCTACATATTTTTCTTGACGCAGATGTATCTACCCCAGCGGGGAGCTGGCTATATATAAGGCTAGACACTGTTCAATTCAATCATCATAATAAGAAACCGCCATGTTCTCTCTCTCTGACGGTCTGACCTGTGATAGAATATCGTCTCTGCTGACTTCCTTGCCTTTGGTCCGGCTGTGTTCAGTACACAATAGTTGTCTCATGGGGCCATGATTGACTGGCTGCAAAAAGATATAGTGACACTAAATTAGAAAATGCCTAACTCCGTTCCTTGTTTTCCCCCCCACAATGTTCAATCTGGTTTCCCCCTCTCCGGCAGCCTTTCTGGTGCGGGAAGGCAGGAACAAGACAAATACACATGGACGTTTGAACTGTAGTCTAAAACATTTTCGGCGTTAGTTTTGTGTGTCCTTGTTTTGCTGCTGGAATGCTTGCAGTGCTTGTACATGCTATCTAGCTTCAGAACACCATTGAGATTCTTCGTCTCATGATGGATGCAGCTAAGGAGAGAGGGCATGGGCACTGGGCACAAGAGACAGCGGCACTAGCACGGAAAGCAACAACCGTGGCTATCAATTAGCCAGGTGGCTATCCGATCAACTAGTTATGTGAACTACCATTGGGGCCAGATGAACCGAGTGTAATTTTTCAAATCAGAAGATTTGTCTATCATTGTTCAGTAATGAAAGAGGATAGTACCTGGGCAATAGAACTGACCCGCTGACTGGGGCAATAGACTGTCTTCTCTTGTAGCTTTGCCCAACTAGTCTATCAATTAGTTATGGACGGCATTATGATTTAGACTGTCTTTGGCTCTTTGCTATCTGTAAGCTTGTACCCCGCTGGCTATATAAGGCTGGACACTGCGTCCAAATCATTCGAGCAACTAAAAAAACCTACCCGTTAGCACCACAAGGTTCATCTCTCTCCTATGACTGACTTAAATTCGTCTCCTTTACATGCCGACTCTATCCAGCCTTTGTTCTGGTGCTCTTTACACACCCCATTGTGTACCTTGGTATAGAATGATTGGTGTTAGAGGGAGTACATGGTTCATAAGTTTATAACGCTACAAATTCAGCGTGCTGATAAAGGGCTCGTAAGAAACAAGTTCGACCTTGCACGGGAAAAACGATGAGGATTGTATCACATTAAGGTTTTCTCTGAAACAATGACAGATACAGTGGAGGATAAAAGTGCTCCGATACAGCGGCGACAAAAAGCGGTGCACCGGAGGATCAGGGTCGGTGTGGTTACGACTTGCGGCGGCTGCGGAGTCGTCTTCGTGTCACCACCGGCCTGTACCGCAGTTGCTGTGGAGCACGTCCGCGCGAGATGTTGCAGTTATCGATGGTGTTCGGCTCTCCGTGTCCAGGGAGAAATGGCATGGGAAGAAATCAATTAATTACACCGAGATGAGGTGGCAGTATAAGTCAAACAACAAAAACTTCTCAGCGTCCCACGCGGGTGAAACCATCATCAAACCAGCTTTGAAGTCTCTTACCGGGTGTTTTGTCTGGTATTGCAAAAAGT